TGAGGGTGGGAACGTAGATCGATCAGTAAATTGAGAGCTTCGCCTTTTGACTCAGCTCTCTCCGCCACGACAGACCTGTACAGCGCCCGCTTCACTTACTAGCACCTATCCGCCTATCGATCTCACGTTCCATTTTTCCTCATTCATGAACAAGACCCCAAGATACTTGAACTCCTCCACTTGGGCCAGGACCTCCTCCCTGACCTGGAGAGGGCACTTTACCCTTTTCCAGCTCAAGACCATGGCCTCGGATTTGGAGGAACTGATCCTCATCCCGGCCGCGTTACACTCGGCTGCGAACCGCTGCAGCGAAAGCTGTAGATCACGATCTGATGAAGCCAATAGGACCACATCATCTGCAAAAAGCAGAGAGGCAATCCTAAGGCCACCAAAATGGATCCCCTCAACACCTTGGCTGTGCCTAGAAATTCTGTCCATAAAAGTTATGAACAGAATTGGTGACAAAGGGCAACCTTGGCAGAGTCCAACTCTCACGGGGAACAAGCCCGACTTACTGTCGGCAATGCGGACCAGGCTCTGACACTGGTCATACAGAGACCTAACAGCCCGTATCAAAGGGCCCGATACCCCATACTCCCACAGGGTTCTCCGAGGGACGCGGTCGAATGCCTTCTCCAAGTCCACAAAGCACATGTAGACTGGTTGGGCAAACTCCCACGCACCCTCCAGGACCCTGCTGAGAGTGTAGAGCTGGTCCAGTGTTCCACGACCAGGACGAAAACCTCACTGCTCCTCCTGAATCCGAGGTTCGACTATCTGACGGACCCTCCTCTCCAGACTTCCAGACAACTTTCACATGTTGACCTTAATATGTTATTTCTCCATTCTAGTAAAAGTTGTTGTTTGTGACACATGGAAACTTCTAATTATATTAAAAATGATGTTTATTATATTTCTCACCAAAGGACATCACCATTATTTTACTGGCACAATGCATTCTGTGGCAATGACGTACATAACAAAAAAGGTTGAATCATGTCATCCGGACTTCGTTTTTTTGTTGTTTTTAACAAAAAAACGAAGTCCAGATGACATGATTCAACCTTTTTTGTTGTTAT